ACTGGGCACCGAGCTCCAGGCGGTACAGGTATTTATGATCTTGTGCTTGAGAGCACAGGCATAAAGCAATCTCAGCTGTGCATTTATCACCTCTCATGTTCTCCACGTAGTGACTTCTCTCCACCTAAGCCAGGAGTCCGGTACAGAAAGGAGGGAGAGGCCCAGGGGTGTCTGCAACGTGACTCACAACAACGAACCTCTTACCCAATCTACCCTGTATATATCCTGTAAGTGCACTGCTGTCTGCATATTGTTTGCCCTGTTAGAATGTAAGCTCCTAAAGGGCAGGATTTGTGTTTTGTTTTGTTTTGTTTTTACCTATTTTCAGTTTCCCCAGAGTTTAGCATAGTGCCTAGAACATAGTAAAGTGCTTGACAAATGCTGAGCCAATCTATTTCTTCTATAATATTGCTGGAAATAACTGAATATGGGCTGGGGGGGGGGGGGGAATCACATACACAGAAATGCCTCAAAGTTGTAGAAAAAGAGTAGGAGCACATTAAAAAAAAAAAAACTTCATTGCCAAACCTCTTGAAAAAGTTATCTACACCTGGTGTGGACACTTCCGCATCAGCCACCCTCTCCTGGACCCTTTCCCATCAGCTATTGGCCTGATGTCTGCTAACCTCATCTCAAACGTCTTATCTTCATAGTCTCCAGAGAAATACCCATTCTTCTATGTAAAGAAAGCAGGGAAGCATAAAACTAGGAAAGCAAAATAGACACACTTGAGGCTGGAGGAATGAGCAAGCGGAAAGTAAACCAAGCAACAGCCACGAAAGGGGTGACTGGCAAGAAAAACAATCTGCCCCCCCAAGATCCTGCATGGTTGGGGATTTTTTAAAAGATGACAATTCTCACTAACTCCAGATTCTTACCTGTGTAAATATGTTTTTGCACCCTCTCAAATGAGAGAATATTTGTAAAGAGCTTAACACAGTGGCCACACAGCAGGTGCATAATAAATGCCTGTTCCCTCCCATTCGCTTCTCCATATTTATAGACAATTGAAGTACTTGGATCCATTAAAAAAAAGTTTCTAACCTTTTTTTTTTGGTGTCCTGGTATCTTTGCATTATGGTGAAGCTTATGTACTCTTCAGAATAATGGTTTTAAATGCATAAAATAAAATATATGAGACTACAAATAAAGCAATCAAAACATTAAAAAGAAAAAAGACAACTTCACCTGAACCTTGGTTAAGAACTCATACACTAAATATTTGTGCAGTTTACTTTTTTGTAAGTTTGTTTCCATCAATGAGGCCATGTCGTATACTAGACTTAAAAGTCAGCATACCTTACAGGACGTGGAGTGAGGAGTGCTGGGTTCAAAGCTTGCCTCAGATATTTACTACCCTTGGAACTATGGGCAAGTCTCTTCTAATTCCTCAGAACTTTGGTCTCTTCTGCAAAAACTGGGGTAGTGACATCTATACCACAAGGTTGAAGCACTTTGCAAATCTTTAGGATAGGAATATATTGTCATGTTGCCCGCCAGACTATAGTCCTCACCTTCTAGAAACTTATCGTCTAAATGTCTCCACCTTCTTTCCCAATTCCCCCAACCTTTCCCCCTCAAAAAAAAAATTACTTCATGTTACGTTACATATTTTAAACATACTTATACATGTACATACTGTCTTCCCCAATAAAATATTAAATCCTTGAAGGCTGATAATCATTTCATTTTTGTCTCTGTATCCTGACACATGGTAGGGCTTGACAAAGGCTTTTTGACTGACAGCTCTAAAATTGGGATAAAAACAGCCCCTACCACACAGGGTTGGTCCAAATGAGATAAAATATGGAAAGGTCTTTGAAAACTCTTAAACTGATATATAGATGTCAGCTGTTGTGTTTTAATTATTATTGCTGTTATTTTCTTGTCAGTCTTGACATTACAGAATGGTGGCTTGCTAGAGACAAAAAAAAATGTCTTATTTCTCTCCTTTAAACAATCGAATCTGTGGTCAACAATACTCCCCATTCAGATTATAGTACCAAGCAACTTCTGAAACACAACACCGAAAAAACAGATGATTTTTAAAAGCAGATGATTTCATTAGGGGCTCATACTGAAGTCTGGTTTTCTTAAAATCTAAATCTGTTTGAAGAAGCTCTAGGAAAACAAAATATTTTTGTTATACTTAAAATCACAAAAGAACCCCATGACACATAATTTTTCTTTGAACTACATAAAACAGGACCAAAAAAAGAAAAAAAACAAACAAGTCACATAAGTCCCCATTTCTGTGCCGGCACATGAAACCTGCAGATGGTACAAATATATTTAAACCTAATCACCATATTAAATACAGGCTACAACAGCTAATTCCTCCTACCCCAGAACTCGTTTCAAACCAATACCCCAACAACAGCAGACTGAGTAATGGACAATTACACTAGTCCCCTACTCTTAAATTGTCCACTCTCAAGATAAATGCTAAAGAACCCAGAGAGAAAAAAACCCAGCACGTTGTTCTCCTCCATACATTATATGGAACACACACAAAGCATAATCACACCTGTTTTGTTCAATCTTTATTCTATGTTCATAGAAAATGTATGTAAATTGTTACTAGCAACTATCTGCTGGGACAGCCAACCACCTAAAATAGGCAAGGTGCATTCAAAACAAAACGGTCTTTATACTTGAATTTATTTAATTTGTCTTATTTGGAACAGATGATTAGCCCATCCTAATTAGCTTGTGGTTTCACAAAGTTAGAAACGCAAAAGACACAAAAGAGGGGGGAAAGGCAAAATAGTCTATGTTTCCAGTGATACATTAGGTGGCAATATAAATACTATTTTTACAGCTGGATGATTCTCTGTAATAGCATGTCTTCATAAACAGATCCAAGGTACAACAAACACTCCTGTCAACTTAGCTTTTGCACACAGCCATTACCAGTAAGCCCTGATGGCTGATCTTTTAAGACTGGCCCAGTTAAGTATTGGGCTGATGAAGGTAAGGCTCTTCCATGTATCTCTAGGGACCTGTGAGCTTCATACAAGGAAAGGACCTGCACAGTAGCCCCATAAATACTACCCCCCCCCCAACAGACAGAATTTCTAATCCCACAAACTTGAATCCTTTATCAGCATATCTGTCCCACACATTTGCACCCTCTACCCCAGTGGGATTGGTTTGGAGAGAGTCTTGGGTGGGTCAGCTCTACTCTTGGCAAAAATAACAATGTATCCAGAACAGTAGGACTTTTGCAAGGAGGGAATCTGTTTGAAGATGTTTGGGGCCCATGTTACTTTCATCTTTTGCTTAATAAAAACAGACAATTAAAACATTTAACAACTGTCATCTTGCCCCTTACTTTGCCAGTAAACATCACTAGATTAAGATGGGCTCTTTTAGTTTTAAATATATATATTATCTTTGCCAATAGGTGAAACAGAAGAGATACTGAAACAAGCAACAAGTTATGGGGGGGGACATTTTGTGAAAATTTGTTAAAAATTTACTAACAAATCACTATGTATTTGCTTTTTAATGACTGTCCTTATATAACTAAATCATTTCCGATGTTCCCAATCACTTCTCAAATTACAGGCTGAAAGACAGTCTAACTTTGTTCGGTTCTACTTGTCCTGGACATGAGACAGCCATAAAGTAATATTACTAGAATAAAAAGCAGCGTTTTCTGACATTTTCAAAGGCAATGTTACGGAAGTAGATTTCACTGAGAAACTGTCAGTGCATAGAAGGCTGCACATGGAGCCAGAACCACGTCGTGTTCAAGTCCAGCTTCTGATAGATGTTGGTTGATCAACCCTGGGCAAATATTTTAACATTTTACCACCCGGAACATAGTTGCCATGCACTAACCACCATCCAGACTCTAATGGCTGAATACTGAATGGCATGACATAACACCTGCTCCTTTGACATGAATCGAGGTAGAGAAGAATTGTGGCTCTTTCCCCATAATTTCTCCCTGGGGCATTGAGTGGTGCAGTGGGTAGAAGGCTGACCTTGGAGTCAGATAGACTGGGGCTCAAGGCCGCCTCAGACAGATACATACAAGCAGCGTGAACATAGCCAAGTCCTTAACCTCTCCGTGCCCCCGGCAACTCTCTGAGACGAAGTTACAGAGTAGCCAAGTTCTGCCAGGGGAGGGAGTTTCCATACCATGAATCTCCCCCACGCTGATGAAATCACAGGTCCAGATAAAAAGAATAAGAGTGAGGACACTAACTTGGGGGAAAAGTACCCTGAGAAAAAGTAGGAAAGGGGGTCTTTTCCTGGGATAAGCTGAGGCTATAGCCCCTCTGTATAGAACTTTAGGTCCCAATAGCTTTTTGCTCCTGGAAACGTGAGTCAGAGGACAAGGTACATTATCCACTTTACTGCCCTGAATAACACAATCTGCACTTTTTGTTTTGCTTCTCTCCCTCTTTTTTCTGGGCTCCTGAAAATCGTGCTGCCCAGAACCAATTGTGCCGAATTACCTACAGAATCAGAGAGGAACCCAGGGCGAGTCACAGGGCTGCGGGACCTACAGACCTAACCACCAGTCGGGTGCACATGCAGACTGGCAATTGCCCTGGGACACCGTGGGCATCAGTTTCCTTCTCTGGAAAAATCGGGAGATTGGACTCGATGCCCTCTAAGAGTTACTCCAGCTCTAAAACCTAGCATTCCATTGGTATATCTTCCCTACTCGTGGGCTGGGGCAGCTCCCTCGCCTTTGGCCACCAACTGGGAGCTCCAGGAGCCAGGGAGTGGGAGCCCTGGGGCCGCCAAGGTTGACCAGAGGAAACATACACATGCTGCATCGTGCCACGCCACGGGACCTCTTCGCCCTTAGCAGAGTTTCCCAACTTCTCAGCAGGGGACGCGGGGCTTCCCCGGCAATCCCCAGCCCTTCCCAGGCAGGCGCTCTCTGCGGGCACTTGCCCGTCCACCAAGGGGCGGTGTGACCTTACAAGTCCACCTCAACCACAGGCTGCCTGCCCTCCTGGACCCCGCACCCAACTCACCGCTCACGCTCGCCCCCGCCCGTCTTGGGGCGCTCCGCTCCCTGTCCCGGACCCCGGGAACCGGGTGCCCGCAGCCTGGCCCGAGGACTGCTGCATGCCCGTGTGTGAGTGAGTGAGTGAGTGTGAGTGTGAGTGTGCCCCCAGCCCTCCCTCCAGGTGGAGGAGAGAAGAAGAGGACAGGGAGAGGACGAGAAGGAGGAGAAAGTCTACCGCGGAGGAGAGTGGGACGGGAGAAGAAGTTTGGCCCAGCCGAGGGCGGGGAGCTGCTGGAGTAGAAGGGGCTGGGCCCCCGGCTCCCTGCCCCTCCCCGTCCCGCCCCACCCCGGCTCCTAGGCTGGCCTGGCGCCCGGGCGCGTCTAGGAGGTTCCCACGGGACAGAAAAGAACTCCCTCCCTACCCCCTCACCTCCTAGAAGGAGGCTGGGCAGCGCGAGCGAGCACTCGGGGGCAGCCAGCGGTGTGCTCCAGGTGCAGCCACCGTTGCTTTCCCCACACTTCCCCTAGGGCCTGCAGGTACACCTAGCTTCTTCCCGATATCCCCTGCCTCCCAGCACTATAACAGTCCCCCTCAACACTCTTCGGTCCAGGGCATCCCATTCTGTGCCTGCAGGAGAAAGCCCAGGACTAATTTGACAAGACCCTGAGCAAACAACAGCCCGACTTGCAGTCACACTGGGGAGGAAGGTTAGACAGCCCTCCCAAACTCAGAAACCGGATCCTAACAAACCCCAACTCACGCACCAAAATTTAAGTGAATCTGTGTTTTCCAATAACGTGGTTACGGGCTCCAAAGCCTCAGATGGTAACTCATCTGTGCCTTAGACTTCTTTATAACTCTTGTCTGGTGTCCTTCCATCAGTTTTCCTTAGAACATCTACCCAGGCCCTGGAGGTCTTCCTCTAGGTTTTCAAACGTTCCCTTCCCCAGTCTCAAGACCAACCTAAAACCTGAGGATTTAATAGAAGCAACAGAGATGACCTAAAAGTGGGGGGGAGGGGGAAGCATGGCATGCAGAGTAGCCTAGTTTAAGTTTATCGTAGAATACGACCCAAACTTACATCCTACCCACCCCCTTCCTCCTCTGCTTTCTGAGAAGCCATTTAAGTTAGAAAAAAAAAAGTAAATAGTTTTGAGATTTTTTTTTAACAGCTGGAAGGGAAAGCCTCCAGTGACCCACCATCCAGGCAGAAGAATAACTAATGAAAATGATTGCAAGGCAGGCTCTGTTATTCTCTCTGAGCTCTGCAAATCAAAAACAGGATGACAAAGATGTAAAAGAGAAAAAAAAGGAAGAAATTCCCCTCAGTACCTCAAGGTTACATTATATCAGAGGAGAGGGCAAGACAATTCTGAGGAGGTGCAGGATGAGAAAGGTCACCTATAAATTGAATAATGTCAATTAGATCTTCCAAACCTTTACAGGATTAAGGAATATGCAGTTTATGATCCCTCTCATTCATTCTGAAAATAAAACAAATGGGAAGCTTAAGTCTAAGCTGTAATATCATCCTTCTGACCTGCTCAGATTGCCACAGGATCAAAAAATTCAATTCTTCAAAAATTCATCAAGAATGGGGAGGGTCTTTGTCTGACATTCATTGATAAGGCTCTCCTGCCTTATCTCATATTACTCTTCTTGCATTCTGCACTCAAGCCAAATTGCATCACTCTTCCCCCTCAGCACAACCTTTCAGTAACTTGATGCAGATGTTTCCCTGTTCTCTTGACTTGAAATGTCTCCCACCCTACCTTCACCTAGTGAATTACTATTCATCCTTCAAAGTCCAAGTTCAGTGCCATCTTCTCCAAGGAGCCTTTCCTAATTCCTCCCCACCACTACCTCCCTTCTCTCCTTAGAGAGATAGTAACTGATATGTATCTTTTCTCACCTTGTACTTCATTTTGCAATTCTCTTATCTTTCGATACTGGGTCTGTGTTTCTATCTTTTGCCTCTACTAGACTATAAACTTCATAAGGGCAGAGACTGTATCCAATCTAAATTTATATGTCCCCCCAGCATCTAGCATAGAATTCTGCATGCAAGTGGTACTTAATAAACATCCCTTGAATCAATGAACTTCTCTACATAGAGAAATGTATGACATAAGTAAAAGTCTACATATATCAAATGTATGTATGTGAAAGAACAAAGAAGTCTACATATATCAAATGTATATGTATAAAACAAAGAATGTGTTATGCCCAGCTCAAAAGAAGTCAGACATAACACACATATTGAATGAATTCCTAATACTGTAAAGGACATAGGAGACCTAATATGGAAGGAGTCAAGAAATAAGGTGACAGAGCAATAATCGGGCCCTAAAATATGTGACAGAAACTTCCCCTAAAGGGTTACAATTTAAAATAATTCTTTGTCAAGCAGAAATTCTGTGTTGATCACTGCTTGATCATTGAATCACAGGACTGAGCACTCAAGTAGATTTTAAAGTTTTATCAAGTCAACTCACATCATTTTGCAGATGAGGAAACTGAGAACCAGAGAGATTAAATGTTGTTCCCAAGGTGATGAAATGGGGGAATACAGAAGTACAGAATATGGTCTCTGTACCAAAGAAGGTTAGAAGAGACTAACACAAATGAAACAGATAAAACACATGAAGAGACAAATACCCATGAAACAACTAGCAAATATACAACAATATAAAACAAAAATGTTAAAGCTATGGTACTGTGACAAAAAGACTCCTCCGTATTATCCGAAAGGGAATGTGAATTGAGTTGTGATCCCAGACAGATCCAAAGTGAACATCCTGTATACATAAAGTTCAGTTGCGTACTCTGCCTTTCCTCACTCACCCCAAAACTAATGTATGTAAAACTATTTATATAAACCATAATGTTGCATAAGTGGAAGTTATTATTTTAACAATGCCCTCCTTAGTCCCTCCCCTTCCCCCGCACACATACTTTGGAAAGTAACCAAGCTGATTGTCTCTTCTCCTCCATTTCCTTTCTTCTCTCAGAAAGACAATAACTGATATAAACAGAATGCTTTAAAGTTTGTAGACTTTGGCACTTCACATATATTGCTCGTTTGACCCTCTCAACAACTATGTAGAATAAGTACTATAAGTATTATTATCCCCATTTTACAGATGAAGGAAATGACTTGGAGAAAATAAGTAACTTGGCCATGGTCACATTAACTAGTAAGTGTTGTTACCGAATCATTTCAGTTGCATCCAACTCTCCATGACCCATGTAGGAGTTTTCTTGGCAAAGATGCTGGAGTGGTTTGCCATTTGTTTTTCCAGCTCATTTTACAGATGAGGAAACTGAGGCAAACAGGGTGAAGTGATTTGCCCAAGGTCATACAGCTAATAAGTAAGGCTGGATTTGAACTCATGAACATCAGTCTTCCTGATTCCAAGCCCAGGTCTCTATACACCACGGCGCCACCTAACTGTGCCCCTAGCACAGTGCCTGGAACATAGTAAGCACTTCATACATGCCTGTTGATTAATTAAATGATGGAGTGTCAGAGGCAGGATACAGACCTAGGTCTTTGTGACTCCCAACTCTAGCACTGTCTACTACTGTGAGAAGTCTCCCACTTTTACTCTACCTTTTGCTACTCAAATTTCAATCAATTCAATCTTAGAATGTATCTTACTCTCAGATACTTCTACGTCTTTTTAAACTCTTTTCCCCTTCTTTCTTCTAAATCTTGCTAAGTCATTTTTTAGGGAAAATCTATCCTCTCCTCCTCCATCACATTTATGAGCACCAAAGAAATCATCCTAATGATGACCGAAATAGGAATATACCTGCATGAAGGAAACAAGTTTTTAAATGAAACCATCATAATAAAGAATGCTGCTATCAACCTCTAAAGCCCTTAAAATTGTCCAGGAGTTTCTTTACAATTTACCACAAGACTCTGTCCTCCCCCTATTAAATCTGCTTCTCATCAAACAATAGCATTCCAGATACAAAGAAAGTTATTTCTTCTTGTATTCCTGTTCTTTGGTCACCTTGCACACTAAAGTTCTAGTCTGATGCCTCATCCAGACCACATTCATAAAGGATGGTGCTGTCAGAGGACAAGTGATAGAATAGAAGATCTCTGAGGGCCAGGACTGCTTGGCCTTTCTCAGGGGAACTGGAGCTCTGACCTTCCCAGAATAGCTCTCCCAGGTCTCATGAGTGAGGACAAGCAGGTAAGCAGGGTAGGGACACCCTCTGTCCTTCAAGGTACATCACCACGTCCTCAGCTCCAGTGCTGGGGAAATATAAGCACCTTACTACAGGCAAAGGCTGAAAGTTAAAAAAGAAAGACTCAAGAATGGGGGAATGGGAGAAATAGAGAGAAACTATTCTCAGGAAACTATTGTCCTCTAGAAAAAAATCAAGTGCTGATCATCCCTCCCTGTCCCCTACTAACACTTTATGGCAATGGGGCATATGCTGCTAAGAGTTAGCAGAGACCATATAGGCCTGGGGAAACATTCTCCTCCTAGGGCAGGGCAGGAGCCAGGGATTCCTTTTTGGCTTTGTAATCAATTTTTTTAATTTTAATTAATTTATTTATTTTTAGTTTTCAACATTCACTTCCATAAGATTTTGAGTTCCAAATTTTCTCCCCATCTCGTCCCGTCCCCCACCCCAAGAGGGCATACATTCTGAATACCCCTTCCCCTAATCTGCCCTTCCTTCTATCACCCCTTCCTTCTCTTATCCCCTTCCCCTTCTATTTTCCTGTAGGGCAGGATAGATTTCTATACCCTATTGCCTGTATATCTTATTTCCCAATTGCATGTAAAAACAATTTTTAACATTTGCTCTTTTTTTTAAGCTTTGAGTTCCAAATTCTATCCCTCCCTTCCTCCCCTGCCTCTTCCATGAGATGGTAAACAATCTGATATAGGTTATACATGTGCATTCATGTAAAACATTTCCTTATTAGTCATTTTGTGAAAGGAAGGAATGAGGGGAGGGAAGGAGAGAGGGAAGGAAAGAAGAAAAGGAGAGAAGGAGAGAGAGAAGGAGAGAAACGGAAGGAGAGAGAGAAAGAAAGAAAGCAACAAAGTTAGCTTCAGTCTGTATTCAGATGCCATTAGTTTTTTCTCTGGAGGCAGATAGCATTTTTCATCATGAGTCCTTTGGGATGTGGGATTGTCTTGGATCTTTGTGTTGCTGAGAATAGCTAAGTCATTTACAATTGTTCATGGTATAATATTCCTATTACTATGTACA